AAGCCCCTTTTGACCCCCTCACAAATCAGCTAAAGGAAAAAAAAAACATGAATGAGCAAAAGTTCTACACTAATAAAAATAAAAAGCTGAAATATTACCGCTACCTGTAATTCTGCAAACGCCACTAAAACAGCACTAAAGAACTATAAGACCTGCTGTGATGAGAGCTGGGGGGCATCCATGAGGAGGTAAAGGGGCTTCTTCTTTTGAAATGCTGCTTGTGACTGAGGAGTTGTGTGACGCACCCCTTAGACCACATTGTCACGTGACGCACCAGGTATATCAGCAGTGGCGAGGGCCCCAGGCGCCGTCCGCCTCCCCAGGAAAGGGGCTGGTAGGGAGGAACAGATAGAAAGAAAGAGGAGAGATGGAGAGAGAGGCCGGAGAGGCAGGGCCAGGCCTCGCGGCGCTCTTTATGTGTAGGCGTTGAGACGCTCCTTGGAGCGAGTGGAGTGGATGTCGTGAAGCTCCTGCTCCTCCTTCGACTTGATGTCCTCGTACTTCTGCATTCGGCAGGCGTCCTTCACGTAGGCCCAGTTGGCAGACAGCACCATCAAGTAGTGGATCTGTGGGAGTCCATGCAAGATGTGACACCAAGGAAGCAGTACTAACAACGTGTCACTTCTGTTATTCATCACAGGACGCAAAATAAAATGTACGTGTCCTAATTCCTGCTCAATAATCCAGGTAGTTAATCCAACAAAGAAGAGAAACTGAGACGTTTATCTTCTAAACACGACGTCCCAGTGGCTTTTAAACCCCAAAATACATTAAAGACTGGTTCATCCCCAAGATCCATGCAGCACCGTCAGAGTAATGTGTATGCTGTTCAGTGTCATGAGGGTGATCAGTCTTATGTCAGGGAAACTAAAGAGCCACTGGCCAAAAGGATGGACCAGCACAGAAGATCAACATCATCAGGCCAGGACTCTGAGGTCTACACTCATCTCCAGGTCAGAGGTCACTCTTTCAGGGATGAAGATGTTCACATCCTGGATAGAGAGGAACGATGGTTTGAGAGAGGAGTAAAGGAGGCCATCTTTGTGAAAAGAAATCGTCCATCATTAAGGGGCGGAGCCTCCGTGTCCAACTGTCCCCCTCTTACAATGCTGTGATTGTTAATATCACTCAGCCCTCTGTGAATAACAAGTGACCATCAGAGCACCAGCGATCAGTCGTTGGGCAGATGGTCCTCCTTTATCATCCCTCAGAGCAGACTGAACTTGACAAAAAAGCTGTTTCCTACTCAGCTCCTGCATCTGGAACACCTGGCAACAGAAGCTGAAGTTGTCCTCCTTAGTTTCTTTAAGGGTTTCAAACATTTGATAATGTCAGTAGAAAAATCAAGGAAGTTCTTGTTTTTAGTATTTCGCCCTGTTTTACAGCACCCTGATTTATTGTTTTATACACTACTCTTATTTTATCTGCAGTTTTACTGTAGTTTATTGTTGTTGTTTACTGTTATTGTTGTTGTTTACTGTTATTGTTGTCTGTACTTATATGTTCTGTCTGGAGCAGCTCTCTCTTGTAAATGAGTCCTCATGGCTCAATGAGACTAATCTGTAGAAATAAAGGTTGAATGAATGAATGAATCATGTGAACAGCTAGTTCTGAATGTCCACAACAAACTGGTTGATCCACATGAGAAGGTTTTATTTATTTTTATATATATTTATTTATAAGACTGAGTTTAGTGCAGCTCCTCGGACTGAAGAAGTCTTTCAGATGAAAGATAAAACGTTTCAACAATTTTAATTGTTTTAATATATATTTTTCGTAATCTGTTCAGAAGACCTGATTAACTTTGTTAGATTTTTCTATCTGGATTATTGAGCAGCATCTGGATACATTTCATCAAAGTGAAGTCCGGTCCTCTGGACAGTTTCTTTTTGTTGAAACATTTTGTCTTCCATCCAAAAGACTTCTTCAGTCAGAGGAGCTTTGACAAACCCAGTCTTATAAATAGCACCTTCACATAGCGGCTCAGCCATTGGTTGATGATTGGTTTGGCTTCTCGGACTGGTGAAAGGATGAAAGACAAAGGTTTCAACAACAAGAACCCGTCCAGAGGACCTGGCGTCACTTTGTTGGATAAAAAAGTTCATGAATGCAGTTAAAACATTCTTGAAAAGCCTGCGGGGTTTGGCTCTTCCAGTCAAATCAAGGGTCATTCTCAGGAGTCCAGCAGGTGGCAGCATGTTGTCAGACATGCTTTTGGACCTTGAAGTTACCATGGCAGCTAAGATTATAATGGCAGATAAAATTATAATGGCAGATAAGATTATAATGGACCATTGTGCTTTAATGACTGAGGTTGTAACGCTGCCTCTCTTTTCTTAGGAGCTGCAGATTCATGAGTGTTGGCATCTTTCTAATTAGATCCAAACACAGACAAAACAATAATCTACATTTTTAATCTAATGGTACATCGTTTTCTTTACTCAAATTCCACCCTGGGATTAATGAAGTATCTATCTATCTTAACTTTGGCACACGTTCAGCATTTAATCCTGCTCCCAGCCTGGAAGTGTCGGTGGTGTTTGCTGCTCCACCTTCACTGTGGGCAGAACATGCAAAAGGACGATGAGAGGAAAGTCTCGCTGCACTTTGCTGCAACATCATTTCTGAGCAACAACCACTTTCAGTTTCTCAGAAAATGGCTCCTCACAAATTACTGAGTGATGTTTGCAACAGTCTCCGAGCCTTTCTTCTCCCTGTTTCCATGACAACAGTACGACAGGCCCGCCGCCTCTGAAAGAGGGAGGGAGACAAACCCTGTCTTTCTCTCTGCACCAAAATGCCTCCTTTCTCTCCTGAACACAAGGAGCCAGGACAAAATGCCAGCAGTGCATGGATCTGTTCAGTCCGCCACCTTGACCCAACTGAAGGGCGCTCCTAAGACACGTTGAACCCAGTGGGCTCAGTTTCAGCTGTAGCTGCACGTTAAGTCCTCGGGTTTCTTACCATTGCAATCACTGCAGCTCCTGCTCCAGCGAGGGCGCAGATGAACAGGTGGAACGTCATGTCCAGCTGCAACACAAACAAATCATCAGCTGAAGAGCTTTAACTGGACCGTTTATAGTCACAAAGTTCTGTAAAACTCCAACAGACATCTTTAACTGACCCTACAACATCTGTGAACTATGAAAAACTAATCCGAGCAGCAGATTCAGTTTGTCAGCAAATATCTCGACTTGTTCAAATCAAAGGTTTCCCAGTTTGGAGTTTTGTTGAAGTTTTACACGTGGACACAGAGTTTCATCTCCATGCTCAAAGACGTCCTCCATTCCCTTACCTCGTTAGATTCACACATTTTGTAGAACATCTCGGATCCAACGCACACAGTCTTGGCCTCCGCGACTGGAACGACACCTGAAACAAGTCGGTTTAAATGAATAACCTGAGACGTTAAATGATGAAGGAACAGGACGAAGCTCTGAGCGGGTCAGCAGGACCACATGCACCAAGACCCTGGACTAAAGGGGAGTTTTATGTGCACACGAGCCAAACGCAGCTTTACATGTCTCAGTGCACACAGAACCACTGGCTGCAGGTAGCTAAAGGCTGCAGGTAGCTAAAGGCTGCAGGTAGCTAAAGGTTAAAGCCACAGGTAGCTAAAGGCTGAAGGTACTGGATGCAGGTAACTAACGTATGCAGGCAGTAGCCTACCACATGCTGCAGGTAGCTAAAGGCTGCACATAGCTAAAGGCTGCAGGTAGCT